ACTCTTACTTCAAAACACTCTTAGCCTTTCTTTCCCAAGAATATCATGATGGTCCTGCCATGACGTCTATCTACCAAAGATACTCTTTACAAACAGCTTTGCCAGAGAAACCTGGCTTTTAACTTTCGGAAACTTAACCTAGAACGTTTAAATCTATCAAACCTTCAAAGGCTGTTCAATGCCTAAATACGGTTGTTTGGCGGCAGGAAAATGGGAAGTTGTGCTCTTTATGCATTTAACTCAATCCGTAATGAGTGTTCCATTTTATGTTGGAATGCACTATCCTTGGTGAGGTGCGGTTTTTGAAATTAGAGTCTTTTCGACTAAAAAGGGTACTACTCTTGAGTCTATTAAGGAAAACGTTAGGCCATTATAGGATATGCCAGGTTTGCTTGGAAGCAAAGGTACGAAATGGTTAAAGAATTAATTTTTGAAAAGAAAAAATCTACTTAGAAGTTTTTTTGCCTATCTAATAAATTGTATTTATTTTATACCAACTATTATTTTATGATTTGTTTTGTAAAAACTACTCCGGCAGACGGTATATAATCCAAGCTTAAAAATAACTTAGGTATTTTTGTTTTATCTTTTAACTTATTAAAAAAAATATATAGTGTATTATGTGTAAACAGTGATGAAAAGTAGGACATGTTTCTGTTCGTCCCACGCCAGCTCGATGTAGTCATTTAGTCGTTGTATAATCAGTCATTTCCTCCGTCTCATTCGTTCTTCTCGTAAGCACTCGGCCCAAATGACGACGTAATATCAACGGAGAAATGTTTTCTTCGGTTGCGATCTTTAAGAACGGCCTCGGATCGCTAGATCGAACGATGCATTTGCATTTTCATCAAGGCGTGATGATTTCTGGCGCGATATCTTCGACGTTCTTGATATCTATCGGTAGATTATTCTATCCAGACTTGTTTTTTAAATAATAATATTTGACAACTTAAAGTTCGGTTATCGGAAATTTGAAATCTTTCAGTTAAATAATTCATATAAATATGGGGCATAATAAACAAAAACAATGAACCAACTATGCATTTAAAATATATGTGTGGTGATTAGTGACCGTTAATCGATGATTATTCAGAAATCGTGAGATGCGGTCTGGTGTGATGTAGGTTTCAGAAAAACATTTTCTTTATCGTGCCAACGTTTCGATCTTTATTGAGATCATCTTCAGGGCACAAAGTGTTTGTTTTCTGTGTAATTGTGCCATTCTTGCGTGTCTTGTTGAGAGTGGGCACTGATGATAATCCATTAATTCCACCATAACTGACTCTTTGAAAAGGCTGTGACTTACGCATGGCACATGAAGGAAAAGCGATCGTCTTCTCCCGATCCAGAAATCTGATTGCAACAAATCAAACCGGCATTCATTTGTGAAGAGCTCAGCCATATTGTTCAAGTGTTTGAGCGAAATGCTGATTTACGAATGCCTTTCTACTCTATTCTTCTCCAATAGAAGATAATCTGATACGGGACATCTAGAGACTAGGCTGTTCTCTCGAAACCTTCTGATGACTGTTTTAGAGCTCATTCTACATTACGTTTCATTTGAAGATGACTACCTATCAAGGAAGCCGTTAAATGACAGTTTATTAGTGCGGTAAGACCGTTAAAACGATTGTCTCTAGCTGTCGTACCACCTTCTCTTCGATCGAGACTTCCGGTGGCCGTAAACCGCTGTAGACCATGGTTAAGGCCAAAGCAGACACACTTGAACTTTTAAAGGTAAGTATGAACTATGAATTTCAATATTTTTATTGTTTTGTTTATCAAACATTAATATCTTTAAGTTCGTATTTGTGAACAGACATTTGCACCAGGCTGAATCGCGCTTTAATGAGTACTTCCTAAGCATCCTGTTAATCGATGTTATTTGTTGTGACCAGGTGTTTGTGAACTAATTGTGTCATTGAGTCTGTGCCTGAGTGTAATTAGTGTAAATAAAGTACATCTTTAGCGAGAGTGTGTGCAATTATTGGTTAACACCAGAATCATTAACAATAATATACTTTACCACATAATAGAGGCGTGTCATGCCTTGGCTCTATATAGAGAGCGTGTAGGCCTGCAGCCGATAAGAAAGGTTCTCGGACACGGTAGCGAGTTTCAGGGTCCCCTGTTCTGCCTTTTAGGGGAATTGGGAATTTTTCATTCTATATAACCGTAAAAATATGTCTTTTGTGTTTCCGTGTTTTGTACGAGTGAGTGTATTTATTAGAGTGAAATAGCATCATCTCCATCGTCTTTCGAGCTGTGTACGTGACTTGGGTCGATGGCAAATATTTATAAATGTACCCCATCGACCCCAATTAGATTAGTTTGTTTAATAGGAGAAGAATATTGAGTTCTCCATACACCAAATAGAATCAATGCAATGCATCAAGTATAGATGTGATTGTATTTATTTGTGTGAATGCGTATTGAATGTGTGTTGTTATACTTTGCATGCACTCGAAAAAAACAAAACTCTTCACAAAGATATTCATATGCCGACAGTTTTTTCATCCATCAAAACATATCACAGACGTTTTCATAGTAAATTACAAAATCACACTAACACACAAATAAGAATACTACATTCCATACACTTACCACCGTTTAACATACACCCAAACGTCATTAGGTTTAAAACGCGAGAAAGAAATGAAAAGCTGAAGAAGAGAAGGATTCGTATGACCAGTTTAATTTATCGGCCCAAAAATTAAAAAAAAGTCCGTTAAAAAAAGGTTTGCTTTTGTAAAAACCATCATTTTATCTACCTTTTATATTACAAAGCTGCTCGATTATTATGCCTTAAGCAAAATATGAAGTTAAATAGGCAACACCATTTGAAAAGACAACATTTGTTAAATCAAGAGTTAAAACGAGGGAAATTTTTTTAAAAAACTTTCTAGAGGGAGAGGAACCGATGGCAGTATGTATGTACAGGGTGTCGTCGGATAATTTGAAGAGCATTGTTCATGTATCTCGGTTTTGTATCTGCATTATGTAGCATGTTCGATGTCGGTTCAGCACGCTTCCCGTTATCTTGTGGAAGGCGAACAAGGTGATTGGGAAAAATTGAATTTGAAGCTGAGAGCAGGGGGGCGGCGGCGGCGCCGACGGCCGGGGGTGGGAAGTGAGCGAGCAATGAGCTCGGGAGCCGCTCTAGGTAAAAACGGGCCATTCTGTTTAATAATGTAAACAGGGGGGTGGGTGTTTATCTGATGTTGGTAGACCGCTAAATATGGACGTTGGAAGCGTTATCTAAGAGAGGCAGGCCCTGGAGCGCCCTGTATAAATGTACTTATTACCTTGGTTAGTCCTGGAATTAATGCAGCCACAGTTTCTCTTCTCTGCCTCACCTGGCACCATATTTTATGCTCCCTCCTCTGAATCACTACCGAACGTTTTTAATCAACTTTGCTCAACCATTCCCATAGGCGTAAGGCCGGTGAAACTACAAAAACTAGCCTACAAACAAAATTGTAGTTAAATATAATAACAAAATTTCCCATGAGTAGTCTTAAAAAAAGAGTAGTAACATATAAAATATAATGACATAAACATTTATTGATTATTTGCTTATCTAGAAATTTACGATCAACAATATTGTGTTAAATCTAAAGGAAGGGACGTATTTTAAAAAAAGCTATGTTTTTTACTCCAATAATGTTCAGAATAAATGTATACTATTTGTGTTATATATCACGTCGATATATGAGTTTACAACATTTGTGAAGTTACATTTTACATTTTTTTTATATATTTTTTTTATTGGCCTTATGATCTTGCATATTAGCCATAGTACGAATTCTTGTGTGTTCAAATTGGGGGTTATCGGGAAAAAAGGGCCAGAGGCGACGGTGGGAATCGAACCCACGACCGCGGCGTGAGAGTCTCTCATGCTAACCACTCGGCTACCGCGGTCCCCCATTTTACATTAAATGTGATTAAATTACATAAAATACTTGCCAAACTACAGATCTACAAAAAACCTGTTTTACATGCACTCGAGTTAAATTGGAATACATTTCTCGAATATTTAAATGGAAGAAATGGACTGGAGCTATACAATTATGAACATTAAAATATAGAAATCAATTGACACAAGAATTTAATCATTAAATTAATATGTTTAACTGTTTATTAATTTATTTAATTATTTATACATCTGTTTATTTATTCTCGTGTTTTACTGTTTGAATCTATAACTTGTTAATGTTGTGTAGGATTGTTAATGGTATTCAAAGTCTATTTATTTCTGTGAATGTTAAATTGAGTACTGTAATCAAAATTTATATATTTATTAATAGTTATGAGCTATAAATGGGTTATGTACATATATTAAATTCATTTATTTGTTACATTTAGAGAAATTGTAGCTGATTTAAAATAGGATTCAATACCTCTTATATATATTATATACATATTATGCGTGCTAACTTCCTCAGATGATAGCTCAAATGTGTATATGCTTTTTGTACATATTTGTATGCGGTTTGTTGAGGAAAAGAAATAAAAAGCATTTCTATTCTACTTGCCAAAAGAATTCTTGACTCGATGACCACTCCTGAACCAAAAACCATTGGCAAAATTTTACCCGCTTCATTTAATGGAGGTGTTCAATTTTAAGGAACTCTACTACTTTCGCATTGTCGCATAATAAAAATCAATAGTTCTGTGTTATTTGCACAAATCGATGAAAAACCAGAAAACAGGTTTTTTGGCGAAAAAAATTGGTTGAAAACTAAGCTTTTTTGAGAGATTTCTTTTTGTGGTCTGCGGAGTGATAAATATATTGTTTGGTTGCTACCTATCACGCTAACACTGACGTTGTCATATAATAAGATACGTACTGAAATATCACAAAGTATGTCCGGTTTGGGACCACCCGATGTAATAATTGGTACGATTAGCTGTTTGCTTTGAGTTATTATTTTTACATCGAGATGATTTTCCCATTTGCTCGTATTTGTTAATAAATCGATGATCATCCTGCGGTGATATCCAGGTGAGGAGGAAATCTTACGACATGGAAATACACATTGCTTTTCAACGGAATCACACGACGGCAGGATGCAACGTGCGTAAATTGAAATGTGTCCGAGCAGAGACTCTGACAGCTGAGAAGGGCTCAAATCTATCGGTCTATCTAGGGGTCTAATCGATCATACACAAACGTTACAATTTACATCAGGTCAATTACTTTCGCAAAAAACCGGTTTTAATACGAACAACTTTTCCAAGAAATTGTGTCAAAGTTCCTTGACTCAAAAGATGTTAATTTTTGCTACCTATGCTACCTGAAAGATGGCAGAAAGTGATTGCAAACAATGGAAAACATATCTCCGAATATTATGCCAGGTAAAAAGTCATTGTTTTTTGCCAACCAGATATTAAAGCAAGACGATGTAAACTATTTCGTTAAACTTTCCGTTCTGGCATCCTTTTGTTTTAGTGTGATTTTGAAGATGTTTTACGTCAAAAATACCATGTCAGAAACTATCAATCTCATCCAATACGGTTTTAAAGAAAAACTGTTGTTGAAAAAGTGAATAGTTTTAATACAAATAAGTTTCATTTTGTATTTAACAAATGTTATTATTAATTTGTTGTTAAATATTAAGTTCAGTAGTTGTCTTTCTCAGATGCAAAGATTTGGGCTGAAGGTATGTAAGAACAGTAAACAAAGTTACTTTCGGTTTATATTTTCTTAACATCTCTTGTTTTCTCGTTTTTAGTTTTTGCACATTTTTTCTTCTTTGACGCGCTGTACAAGGCATAAAAATAAAGGAAAGAAGTATATTAAAACTGTGCTTCCCAGCTGTATTCGTGCGGACCGCATGAGCAGAAAGGACTTGCCCGAGGTGATTCAGATGTTTATGGCGACTGCTCCTCCGTTTCGACCCAGGCTGAAATTGAAGAGGGACGAACCACCGCTGAAATTCCGTTTCACCGAAATCCACATGGAATACAAGCAGACGGGGTGCATTTATAAGACGATCCGGCTCTACGGCCCGGAAAACGTCGAGATAATGCAAGAGTACGTATTTTCGTTCCCCGTTCCGTTTTTCTACTCGATCCATCCATTTGGATTGGCTGAGATCGTGACTGAGGTCATAGCCAGTTTGAAAAAGCTCTGTGCCGTGAACGAGGGCTTTCTGTCGAGACTGGAGAAAACGAAAGACGATTTGGTTTCCCTCCTACGGCCGGAGCCGAAGAAACAAAATAATTTGATTAATATTTGGAGTCTGTACAACCTTCACGTTTACGATCCACTGAGGTGTTTCCAACTCCTGAAAAACAAACCACATTTGGACTTGTATCTGGAATAAAATCATGTCATTTATTTATTCGTTTAAACATGTGTTATAAAGTGAGAATTGCCTTTTTATTTTTGAGGTTAACCGTTTCTGTCGATATTTTAGTACCATTTATTGGAATGGTTATAATTTATTAAAGGGATGATTTGGTATGAAAGGTTTTGTCTTAAGTAAGTTTTTAATTGTTAGTTTTTGCTCTGTGAGAGAAGAGAGATGGGCGAAAGATGTTTGTCGAGATTGCGGATGGCGATTAACCCGGAAAAGTCACTCTGCCTCTCAACATGACGCGGAGGGGGAGGTCCTGATAATCGGTCGAAGCGGGAGATCTATTTGCCACATGCCTGCAGGCGAGCCGTTCAAATACTCGAGGATTTAGAAGTGTTTCTTGGCCTGCCTCGAGGCAGCGCCCTAACCCTCGACAGAAACTAGACCTGGTCAACCGGTTTTTGCTTCCGAGGATTGGTGATACGACGTCGTATCATCAGCTGCATAGGCTGCATCGGGTCGTGAGGAGATGGCTCAAGGAGACGTTATCTCCTACAATCCACCCCGAACGGCCTCGTCTATGCTAACAGCTAGGACGGAGGACTAGGCTTTCCATAGCTGGCTTTACGGACACGTGGATCAGGTACGATGCCAACCACGGAGCGACATGCTTAAGTAAGGCCACAACCGTCTTGGTTTGGTGGAGAGACCCAATCTAGGTGGAGATCTATGGGTCTAGAGACCCCAAGAACTATGGGAATCTGCGTGCGCTCGAAAATAAACTATCCCGGGGGCGCTGGATAATTGGACGGCCTTGGACGGATCAAGGGGTGAAGATCTTGGTTGGCAACGATGGCTCCATGAAGAATCTTTGGTTTTATCAGGAGTGTTGGTATATTAATGCCCTCGCCTTAAGACCACTTGGGTAGGTAAGAGGGAGGCGTAATCTCCGTGACTGGAATCAAGTCCCCACTGGTTACCATATGATTCATCTCTCCAGCCGGATATTTTGCCGTCAGCGAAGGTGGAGTATTCGATCGGGTTAAAAGCGCAAAAACATGTGGTATTTGGGAAGCCTTCGCGGGGCTACATTACAAAAAATTCTTTAAAGTGGGTGTAGTAGTGGGGGCGAGAGGATGCACACCTGACCATACTAAGAAGATGCTCAGGGCACTGGGGATCAATCAATCCCCGACAATGCTTCTCACCCTTTCCCTAACTCCCTAAACTGAGGCCTTCACTCTCCATAGCCTGCGCTTATATGGACACAGAGCGCAGTTTTTAACACCTAGTTCAACGAATCGGCGGTTGAGCAAAATACCTGAATGCGACAGACCATGGCTAGGATGACGGTACCCGAAATGGACCTATGGTGCTGAAGAGTTGGCTGAGCGTGACTTGCACCAAGGATTCGAAAACCGGGGAAGTGATTTATTTTTTAATTTAAAATCAAGAAAAAATATATGAGAGGGGAAGTGGCAAAGATTCCAATATCCATTTTCATGGCGTTAAGTAAACCTAGCTAGTATCACTAGTCCAAACAAAATACATAGCCAAATCGACGTTCTATTTAAGATAAAAGTGCCGAAAGTCTAGTCTTGCAATGAGTATTTCTTCTATACGAGTATGTCTTCAACTGTTAATTCCATCAGCTACTGTATTTAAACTAGGTAAAGTAAATGATGCTGTTAATAGAAATTGCCGCTAGACTGAAAACTAGACAAAGGACGTATTTTATAGATGAAACGAAAATTGTTACGCTACGCTACATTTTCCACAATCGAAAGATTCATTTCCAATACTAAACATACTATAATATTTCAGAAAAAAATTTCTTGGGTGGTAATTTAAGGTGAATGGGCAAAAGAGAATATGTTGAATAATTACAAAAAACTATAGACAATAGAATGTCTGAGGCGATGTCTATATCGGTAGAAAATTGATTTATAGTTTCTGGTGAAATGACATATAATTGAAATATCAAGGCGAGACGGGAATTAAGTTTTTACTATTGTTTTACCAAAGATGATGATGAGTATTGGTCTGCGAGTCGGTGAACTCATGCTTAACTTTTTGGGTCCGTCTTCACTCGCTGGTTTGTTGAATTATTCAACCGCGTTTCGGCATTGCGGTAAATTCAGTGAGGAACGTTCTTTATTTTGTGGCAGTTACAAATTCCTTTACTCTTTATAGTAACAAAATTACAAAATATACGTATATACGTTTTGTTAAATGCAGAATAAATTAATATATTTTACTGATTCGAGTTCCTCACTGAAGATGGCGCGATGCCAAAACTCTTTTGAGTAATTCAACAAACCAGCGAGTGAAGGCGGGCCCAAAAAAGAGACCCTATGCCAGTTCAGAATGACTTTATTGGAGTATTTAGAAGAAAACGGAAACTATGATTTTAATAGATAGAATAATTTAAAACTTGGGTTTTTTTTGTCGATGAACAAAAACCACCGTCTTTTAAATCGGATTCTTTCTGTGAAAACACAGAAAAGTTTTATACCTACTTTTCAAAGGACATAGACAAGGAAGTAGTTTAAGATCAGAATTTTCTGAAAATTCATGTGAGTATTTTTTCTTTGTCGTCTAAGCAAATAATGGTCTTGAGAAATTTTACATTTTGTAAAACACAATATATGGAGTGAATCCGATAATGCTTAATTCTGGTAATCACTGTGGTGTAAGTTTATTTACAAGTCGAGGAATAGAGATTCAATTGACGTTCTTAAGTTTTAAAAAGTGAACCAGGGTCGGTCTTTTCCATCTGATGTATATTCTAGGCTTAAGAGTCAGAGAGAATATACATTGGTATAGAGACCGAGGATATACATTACTCGGGGGAGGAAGGCAACCCTTGAGAGTCCGACCACGAAGTAGACGAGTATTATCAACAAGTAAAGTGGTCAGCCATACGTGATCCGACTCCTTCATTCGGCTAATGCTTCTATTTGTAAAAGTCTTTTATGGAATTCAATTGGCATATGATCGGCCCGGAATGACCGCGGCCCCTGGGATATCACCTTTTCCGGGCGATCCTCCCTTCCCCGGGTGTTCGATTCCGCAATTCGATACCCAGCCCATACAAAACCGATGGAAATCAACTGGGATGATTTACACTCATAAAAACACTATGATCGCTTTGTACAACAAAAAAAGTGTCAAGGCGCATTCGTATTAATCTTTTTCATTGAGCCACTTGCCCTCAGGAAAGGTGACATATGACTGAAGACTGAAGGACGGACTTTAGAAGAAGGGTATTCATTGAAAAATTAATAAATTTAACAAGATCAACTAAACCTTATCAAGGGAGGTTTGGAATTTCTTTACAATAATGTAAAAATGTAATATTCTTTTTCGTTTCAACCTAGTGGTTGTCGTCCAAAATTTGGATTAAAAAAAAATTATATAGCTTTTTTTAGTTTAGTTATCACGAGCAGAACAAATTTTATCTACAGTTCATCTCTTTTCAAATTCAAACCAGGATTGTATTATAAATTATTCAATTAATTAAAAAATTCTTCAATCCAGCATTAAATCGAGCAAGTAAAATATTTTATATAAAAAGGAAATGCGAAATTTCCATAATTATAACATGTGGGTTTTGTCTGGAAAAACTAGAAAACTTTCAAAGAATTTATTTAAGAAAGCTGTTTCAGACTATATAACCCATCAAATTATGACGATGGTTGTTGGTCAACGAGTAGGTGAAACCACATGTTGACTCCTGTAGTGTGCGGGGTGATAAACCTACAGTTGGATACCTATCATCTTAGTCTGCTTATCCTCGCTGATTTTTGTCAGTCAGACGCGATCTGCATTTCTTCAGTGGAGTGAGTTCTGTGGAGTGAAGTGATGAGGTCGTGTTTAGTGTGTGGGCTGTGAATAAATTGATCGACTGTTGATCAGTGCAACATGTGCAAAAATTCAATTTGGAAACCTCATACCATTTGGTGTAAGCATATTCATTTAGAATATATGTAAACAATTTTTAAAATAAAAAAATGAAATGCGAAATTTTCATAATTGTAAACTGTCAAGGGATTAACCTGACTTTTCATGATTTTATTTACTGTTTGGGTGGTTTTGCTGTGCAGAGCGTAAGTAGGTGGTTTTAATGTTTGTGCCTGGACGTTTTAATTTTAGAAAATATTTTTTTTGAATCCGTTATCAGTGTATTAAGCAGAGTTTTTGTGTATGGGTGCTTTCGAAAAGCACTTCCGGTACTGGATGATGCAGCTTTCCTCGTGGAAATATTCTTGTATTCTTATATTCATTTTTTCCAATCCTACGGTTATATTTATCCAAGCTAGCGAGAGAGCACGAGGAACGGCCACAACCGATGAACAGCAGAAAAGGGAGAGAAAATATTTTTCAATAAAAGATTTAAGTAACTGGTGAGTGAATTGTGGTTTTCAGCTGTGTCCAACACATGACAGGCCGTTAAACAATAAATAAGTTACTCAGACGACCTGCCACTTGCCATCGGATAGGGAGCACAATTCAGCAGTACGGAGGGAGAAAAATAAATAAGCCGGACTAACCTAAATATATTTTTCAGAAAGAACCAACAAGTGTGCGGCTCTTTAAGCGATTTATCTCTCTTATGTTGATATTGATTGTTGTGCCGTTTACTGTAATTAATTACGGTTGTGCCAACTGACGCCATAATTAATGGTTAAATTTTCCTACACGCAGTAGAGGCGAGCAGACTTAATTAGAAACCAAATGAATGGGCATTCCTTGAAATTTGTAAAACCGGGGGACTCGGGTGCCGGTCGAAAAAACCTCGGCTCCCTACAATTCCTCTGGAACTAGGCTGAATAAGCGGAAGAAATTTGTCTTACCGAAAGTTCCGAACTTGATTATTATTACATTTGCTTAAACATCGAGAGGATATTCGACTGTGGGAGAGCGTTTTAATCTTTCGGTAACGCCTCAATGTTGCTCTCTCCCCTGGAGATTAGTGTTCCTTTGTGCCCTTCCGTAAATATAGGAGTGCTTCTATTGTGTCTTCACTTCCCTTTTGTCCTATATGTTATTTAACTAAACGCTTAAAGGAAGTT